GGCGGTGGCGGTGGCGGGGGCGGGGGCGGGGGCGGGGGTGGGGGTGGTGGCGGTGGCGGTGGCGGTGGTGGCGGTGGCGGTGGTGGCGGTGGCGGTGGTGGCAGTTGTGGTGGTGGTGGTGGTGGTGGTGGTGGTGTGGGTGGTGATGGGTGGTGGATGGTGGTGGGTGGTGGCGGTGGTGGCAGCCCTAGCGGTGGCGGTGGTGCTTGCGGTAGCGTGGCGGCAGTGGTAGTGCTAGCGGTGGTAGTAAGTAGGACAGTAGTAAGAGTGGTAGTGGTAGTGGTAGATTGTAGACTAGTCAAACCGTTTCTTTAACCCAAACCGTAATTACATCCCTTATTAGTTTTAGTTTTACAGGGGACTTATTTAACTGTAGAGCACCCTACAGAATCTTCCTAAGCCTTCTTTATCAATGAGAGCTGCTTTGTGAAGCGGCTCCGCGGAGACCCCGAGCAAAGCAACACGGTGTCGGCTGGAAACCCTAAGCAATACCCTTACCCTCAAAGGACTCATAGTTTAAGGCTTTTGGGCCCAAATGCCCTATTATTGATGCTAAGGGATAAGATCGGAATAATCAGTACCAACGCAGTTCTTATATAGGGTTCTAGGATTTAGGGGCTCAAGGGTTAAGGAGTTTAGGAGTTTACCGGGGCTTTAGGGTTTAGGGCACAAGCGCTAGACCGTAGGGAGATTTACCATCGTAATGTAGTTCTCCAGTAGCAACCCCCTCCTCTTAGCCCCAAGCCCTTGCGAACTTAATAGGCTATGGCCCACTGCTTATAGAATCTTAGCAGCTGAGTGAGTACACTTTAGAATTTCTGGGATGGTATGATCCCTTGTCGAACTGAAAGTGTACACTTTTTGGGGCTTACCAACTAAACCCTAAACCCTAAATCTTAAACCCTAAACCCTAAACCCTCAACCCTAAAACCCTAGACCCAGTGTGAAGTCGTGGGTAATGGCAGCCAACTTGCCGGTGCGTACAGTCTGGCACTATCGCAGTAGTTTTGTTGTAAGAAACTCACATGTTCATGCTTTGGGTTTGCCGGAGGACGGGAAATGGGGTTTGGGGTTTGAGGGTCTAAAGCTTGAGGGTTTGAGGTTTGGGGGTGTGGGTTTAGGGCTCAAGAAGTTGAGGGTTTAGGGTTCTGGGGCCATGTGGGTTTACCCCTCAACCCGAAACCCGAAACCCGAAACCCTAAACCCTAAACCCCTAAACCCGAAACCCTAAACCGTTTGAGGGTTCGGGGCTTCGGGTTTAGACATGGCTGCATTATGGCTTCTACGTCTTCAGACCAAACTTGAATTTGAGAGGCATGGGAGGCTTCAGCCCTGCGCCCAGACCCTAAACTCTCAGTAGTTACCGTTATAGGAGACTTATAGAAGGTCTATATGGGGTTTTCCGAAAATAGGGGACCCTAATATAGTACCCTAAATAATAGGATCCTTAATATAAGGACCCCAAAATAAGGTACCCCTAATTTTCGGAAGCTCCCATATACCTTATATGGAAGCCTTATAGAAGCCCTAAAAACCCTAAACTCCCCACCTGTAGTTTCCTTTAACCTAAACCCCGGACCAGTCGGGTTGCGGGCTGTATGAGCAGTGGGCAGTTTTTTGAAATCGGGCCCTTGTTTGGATCCCCAAAAGAGCACGGAACCCTTGTAAGAACGACCCTAGGAGGAGGGGCCTCAAAAATTTCCTATACTATTCTTGAGGTTCCTTCTTATAAGTGCAATATACCCCAATACCCTGTTCTAATCATTATAAAGGCCCCTATATTACCCAATGTGACATGGGGGACTGGTTCGGCTTTCCAGAGATGACGGCCTTTAGCGGCTGGAGGTTATTAGGTGCAGGAGTTGAAGTTTAGGACATGTGGGTAGTTCTCTAAATGAGGGTCATTTCCTGGTCCTTTTGTATAAGGGTGCCGTGCTATCTTGGGGACCAAAAAAGGGCTAAACCCTAAACCCCAAACCCCTAAACCCTAAACCCTAAACCCTAAACCCTTACACCCTAATTTAGAGAACTACACAAGTATTAGGTGCAGGGAGTTGATGACTAGGACATGTAGTGTTTCGAATCAGGCGGTAACTTTTCCAAGTTTATGGGGTTCAGGAATCAAGTTTTAGGGTTTAGGGTTTAGGGTTTAGGTTTTAGGGATGCAAAGAATTTATTTCCAGTCGTCAGCGCCGTCCTTTTTAAAGCCGTGTTGGCAAACGACGGAATCTGGAAGTGCGGGGCCAGCCAAAAGGCAGAGAAGACCGTAGGATCATGAGATAATGTAGGGGCCTTAATAATTAGAATAGGGTTTGGGCCCCATTATACTAAGATGATCATAAGGAACCCCCAAAGTAGTGTTGGTAACTATTTAGGCCTCTACAGTACCACCACCCGAGGATGTTCAGGCTTCTAGGGTTAAGAGGTGCTGATTTAGAGGAATTCATTGCTTTGCTGGCCTAGAAATGGAACCGTAGCTATGAGCATGGTCGAGAGCTTCGGCATTTCGGATCTCCATTTAGTTCCTTGAGTTGAACTGTTATGCCGTTTTTCGAGACCTGGCGATATAGAACTAGAAGATAACTCTGTTTGTAGCAACTTACTATGTCCCCTAAGGCCCTAAACGCCAAACCCCCAAACTCTAACGCAGCTGCCCAAGAGCTGGTATTACCACCAAAGGCCTACCAGGGACATCGGACATCATGCACGAACCTCTCTGTGGGTCTTCAGAAAGCTCTTCGCCACTGGCAGAGCCCAAGTAGCCTCAAGACCTGTGTAGGGTCCGCCATTCAGCAGAAAAGCTGTGAGCAAAAGTCTACAGCAAGTTCCGCCAGCAGACGTCATGCTGCTGGGATCGATTCCTTGCGAGGCAGGGTGCAGTCCCGTCTACCACTCTACAACCCCCTCCCCCCCCCGGATGATACTACAACCCTAAACCCTAAACCCCTGAACTGCAGCTCTTCCTGGAGCCAGAAAGCTGACCCTAAACCCTCGGTCTTTTCCCTGAAGCCTTCGACCTTGAAGTAAGATGGGAACCTGATAACCCTAAACCCTCAGTCTTTATTTTATAGGGTTCATTACTTTGGGTTTAGGGTCTGGGTTTTGTTTGGGGGGGTAATAGAGCCAGGTTTCTTGCTAATCCTCAGGGCAAAGGTTCCAGAACCAAAACCAGCAGCATGAATTTTGGGATGGACGGTTTAGGGTTTTATGGTTTAAGGTTTAGGGTTTAGGGCTTAGGTTTTAGGTTTTAGGGTTTAAGGTTTAGGGTTCAGGGTTTAGGGCTTTGGTTTTAGGTTTTAGGGTTTAAGGTTTAGGGTTTAGGGTTTAGGGTCCCATACAACCTTGATGCTAATGCCAACAACATCTACCAAGCTCCGACTCCCAAAACATCCTGATATAGAGGCCTCATAAAAATTGCCTACACTAGTTTGGGGGGGGGGGGGTGCTTTTTATATAAATTATGGTATATTATGCCCCCAAACCCTATTCTAACGATTAAGGTCCCTACATTCACCAAACCCGATTCTAATTCTTAAGGCCCCTATCTTAAGCCAAACCGCTACATCCTGAACCCTCAGCCCCATAGACCGAAGTCAGAGAGCCCTGGGAACCCAACAAGACTTTAAGATCCAAGCCCTCACCCAGAGGGGACCTGTGTATGAAATGCTCAACTCGCAGATTCTAATCCTAGAATCCCTTCTATAAGGGATCCTCAATCCTACCTATTCTAATCCTAGAGTAAGAGTCCTTCTATAAGGGATCCTCAATCCCACCTACCTCCTTCCCACCTTCTGAGACCTCCAACAGATACCTAGAGCCCTCAAGGAAAGCCTTGGACCCTGAATTGCACAAACTCCACTTTGGTTGGAACCCGACGAGGATCCCTTTAATCTTAAAGCCTAAGAGTTTAGGGCGCAAGGTTAAACCCTAAACCCAAAGCCCTAAACCCTAAGCCCTAGACTCGAAGCAAGTCCGACATGCACACTCCTTCCTTAAGCTATCGCTTCGCACATTCAAGGCTCGCACTTCGCAGCTGTCCTACGGGTGGTTTCAGTCAGGGTTAAGGGTTTCGGGAGTTCGATGGCTTAGGTTCCAGGAGTAGATCTTATTCTTTAGGGTTTCGGTTTAGACGGGTTTAGGGCCGCGGGTCAGGATTAAGGGTTTCGCGTTAAGATGGGTAGTGTAGGGGCCTAAATAATTACCTGTACCATTTTGGGTGGTTCCGTATTATTCATGGCATAATATACCCCTAAGTCCTATTCTAATTATTCAGGCCCATAGATGGATTTAGTGTTTTAGGTTTTGGGTTGTTTCTGTCAGCTTCGGACGGCGTGCTTGGATTCGGATGCGGTTTTGTTGTTGGTGGGGACTCCTTTCAAACTGCTGTGAAGATAGAAAAGCAGGGTTTGCATAGCTTTATTTCTTAGGGTTTGGGGCTTAGGGTTTAGATTCAGTCTTCCAGGCTGGTCGAAAGGGTGGAATACGTTAGTTGTCTGACGACTTTGTGATTCTTCATTCTCCTGTGTGGTCCCCATAGATTAGAACATAGATCCCCAACACGCGAGTCTCTATCCAAGCCCCGATGTTAAACCCCTTCAGTATCCCTTATTTCAGTAACCCTTCACACTAACCCTCTTTCAAACCTTATAAATTGATTTAGACCAGAGAAGTCATCGAGTCTGGCAGACGAAGCGGAGAGCGGGCTGTCGTGCAGCGAACAGTTTTCCAAGCGTGAGGGTGTTCAGGGGGTTTCTGAGGGTTTAGAATACAGACTTCCTAGCGTGCTGATGAGGCTTCTGGCCAGTTTCATAGGCTTTTAGGGAGATTCAAGGTACCCTAAATCCTAAATCCCTAAGCCCTAAACCCTAAACCCTAAATCGCTAAACCCCTAAATCCTAGAAGGGTCCAAACCCTAAATCCCTAATCCCTAAACCCTAAAAGGGTCCAAAGGAGTCAACCTTGAGCCTTGTAGGTCTTAACTCTTTTGATGACGTAAGGTGCATTGCTTCACCGGGACCCTGATACGTGCTTGAGACATGGAGCCGCTTAGGTTTTAGGGTTTAGGGCTTAGGTTTAGGTTTTAGGGTTTAGGGTTTAGGGTTTAGGGGAGCCGAAGAAGAACGATGCACAACTTCGAAACTTGTAGTCCTAGTGGTTGAGTAAGTAGCTCGTAGGTAAGCTTGAGCCCTTTTGGGGAACTACCATCTCTGTCTAATCCCAAAGGTTCACCTTTAGTTCCCCGGGCAAGGACTACGCCCTGGGGGCTTCAACACGTTAATTGGAGCTTTCATCGTAATATAGGGTTTAGGGTTTAGGGTTTATAAGAGAGTTGTTTTTCAGCTCCTCAGGTATGAAGTCTTAGGAGCCCAGTAGGTAAACTTTAAACTTTTCGGTATATTAAACCCCCTACTAAAAGAAAAGTTTAAACTATTTTGGGCCAGGGTACTGGGCTTCAAGGAAGTAGCGTGATGAACTCCCGAAGGTGAGAGGGCATTTAGTTGACCCTCGCTCCGCAAGAAGCTTCCAGCGACCAAAAACGCGTTCGTTGTTGCTTCAAGGGCTTCCTTTTAATATAGGGCCCGAATAATTACCTATATTATTTGGGGGGTTCCTTATTATCATTATGCTATAAGGACCCCACAACCCTAGTCTAATTATTAAGGCCCCTACAGTAGTACAGATAAGCCTGATGTTATTACGGAGAACTCTGTCTGAGTCAGCTGCACTTAAACCCAACTATAACCGTTCAGAACCTTATTGTTGCGTCGGCGGGGTCGGAAGCGCGCCTTCTTCAGTTTTTGCCAGCCCGGACATCGACTAATATAGGGGCCTTAATAATTAGAATAGGGTTTTGGTGCCCAAAAGACCATATTTACAAGAAGGAACCACCCAAAATAGTATAGGTAAATTATGTAGGCTCCTACATGAGGTTGTACGGCCCGGCGTTTCGGATGTCGGTCATATGGGGTATAGGTGTCAAAATGGGGAGCCCTGCATGATTCTACTCTCCAGACGGCACCATTCCTGAACCCTAAACCCTAAAACCCTAAACCCTAAAAACTAAACCCTACACCCTAAACCCCTAAACCCTAAAACCCTAAACCCTAAAGACTAAACCCTAAACCGTAAAGAGATCCTAATCTGGACAAAACCAGCCTTTTTGGGTTCCTTGATCTACCAGCAGCCCCCAAGTACCCTTTAATAGAGCCCTTTTGGTCCTTAACAGATCTAAATAGGGGTATATAGGGTATAATAGAGGGTAGTTGGGAGGTTCTGCTGGTATGGCTCTATGGGATGATCTCTTGTGGCGAAGATCGAGGGCTAAGGGTCCTCGGGTTCGCTCGAACAGTATCATGATGTGAGTCATCTCCCCTTGAGAAGTTAACTATTTTGGACTTCAAGACGTTCTAAAAGCTCCACAACTCTAGACCATGCACCCTACCTTGGAGGAATTGTCCCTTGCAGTTTATTTGTTGGCCTGCGTTACAGGATCCTAAATCTCTATATCCAATTAACCCTAAACCCTAAACCCTAAACCCTAAAATTCAATTGGTAAAACCAAAGCAAAGGAACTACAACAGAGACTCTGGGTGAGCCCTATGCCCCAAACTCCTGAACCCTGAATCCCGAAGCCCTGAACCACAAACCTTAACCCCTAAACCCTAAACCCTAAACCCCTAAACCCTAAACCCTAAACCCTAAACCCTAAACCCCTAAACCGTGATATAATCCTTAAGCCCTAAACCCTGACCCCTCAACAATCACAGGTATCTCAGCGAGATGGAGACCGGTCAGCGCTTCTCGCTGCCGCCGGAGAAGCCCGAGGAACAGGGCTTTGAGAGCTAGGAGCGCTAAGCGCCTTAAAGCCCTAGGGTTTAGGGTTTAGGGATGTTTAAGGTTGAGCTCTTACAAACCCTTGACCATGAATGCAATAAGTTCTGCCTCAACCCTAAACCCGAAACCCGACAAGCTCTAATTACTCTAATTAGGCCCTAGGCCATAAATTCCATACTTCCGACCCAATAAATCTGCCCCAAGCCCGAATCCTGCACAAGAATGTTCACTTCATATGTAGACGCCCTCCCCACAAACCCATCCCACCGCTTTCTTCAGGATTCAGGCCCCGGTCTTCGTAATTAGGTGCGCGTTTGTGGTCCTCTAAAACCTAAACCCTAAACCCTAAAGATGCCTGCAGTGGTCTGAGGGTCGAACAGGTTCTACACCGCATCCATAAATCTTACATGGTCTTGGCCGCCTCAGATTTTGCAATTTAGGGGGAGGGGGTTCTAATTTTCGTTCTCTGACTTGGATTTTGTGCAATTTTCGGAGGGGGAGTCGAAATATATGAGTCGACAATACCCCCTAAACCCTAAACCCTAAACCCCAATACCTAGAGATCTAGATTCAGGGGCATCGGCCCAAAGCAACCTCAACCTGAGATTGGGTTGCGACTGCAGTGTCCTACTTGGAGGCCCAGGGAACTAAGTAAGTAGGTTATAAGTAGAGTTATAAGTCCCCTAAATGGAGTTATCCCAATTATAACTCTACTTATAACCGACAGACTAAGTTCCCTGGGCCTCCAAGTAAAGGCACGATGCCACGCACTTCCGTCTGGCCTCAAGAAACAGCAGCTCCTGAATTTGAGTCAAACGGTGCCTTGGTATGCTGATCCAGGATGAGAGGTAGTTGGAGAAGGAATGCATATATCCAGATGTTCTATGAGCTGAACTCACGATGAAGATTTGCACTGTGCCATGTTTTTATACATGCACCTCGCTCGTCGACCTTGAATAGTTTAGTTGCAAGCACGCTGTATTCAAGCATGGCTTCTTCACCAAACAGCTCCACACCTAATTCAAAAGCACCCTGAACCTGACAAGTTTGAAGAAATGAGCTTTTCACAACAAGGCACCCGAATGTAGAACAGCCGATACTCAGATCCTAAAGTAACGTCCTTATCCAACATGATAACACTCACCTAAACCCCTAAACCCAAAACCCCTAAACCCAAAACCCTAACCCTAAAACCTAAGCCCTAAACCCTAAACCCTAAAGCCCTAAAGCCCTAAACCCTAAACCCTAAACCCCTAAACTCGCAAGTTGCCAGGAGTTCACGTATCCCTACGCCTCTCCTTTGGACGAGCTGCGTGCGGCGGACAAGGCGCGAGCCGATTCCTTTGAAGCCGTCCATATACGGCTTAGGGGTTTAGGGTTTAGGGTTTAGTGGTTTAGGGTCTACACTATTATATGGAATCAGGTATATGGGTAGTTCTCTAAGTCACGGTCCCTTTTGGGGGTCCTTTTTATAAGGGTGCCGTATTATAAATAATGGGGACCTAAAAAGGGACCCTAATTTAGAGAACTACCCATATACACTATCATTATGGAATCAGGTCCCAACAGACCATCCCTATTCTGGTTTTGGGGACCTAATTCCATAATAGTAGTATATATGGACCCTCTAGGAACCTGTCCTTTCAGGGTTCTTCAAGGGTTTAGGGTTTCAGGGTTTCAGGGCTCTTTAAAGGTTTAGGGTTTGGGTTCAGGGTTTCAGGGTTCTTTAAGGGTTTAGGGTTTCAGGGTTTCAGGGTTCTGCAAGGGTTTAGGGTTTCGGGTTTCAGGGTTCTTCAAGGGTTTAGGGTTTCAGGGTTTCAGGGTTCTTTAAGGGTTCCTATAACCCTATAGGGGTCCAAAGGACCCAGTAATTGGGTACTCGGGGTTCGGATAGTCATTATGCAGGTTACTATATGGGAGAGTAGATGATTATGAGGTACTTGGACCCTTAGGGTAGGGACCTTACTAATTAGAATAGGGTTTTGGGGCCCATTATACTATTATAACACGGAGTCCCCCAAAATAGTCAAGGAATTGGGGCCCATTATGCTATAATTATAACACGGAGCCCCCCCCCCCCAAGATAGTCAAGGAGCCCTAAAAAAGTATTTGGTAACTCTTTAAGGCCCCTACATTATAGGTTGATGGGTTCAGATCTTCGGTTGAGGTACTTCGGAGCTTTGGTTTAGGGTTTAGGGTTTAGGGTTTAGGATCCCTTTTGAAAGGTCTTTAGGGGTGGCTTAAAGGATTAATTCGTTGTGTCGGGTTCGGGGTCTTGGGAGGTTCGTAGCAGCTTGGGTATTCTGGCGTTTAAAAGGTTAGGGTTTGGGGGGGAGAGGGTGGGGGTTCGGATTTGAAGTATGTGTTCGTAGGGGGTAGAGGTTACTGGCATTTGAGAGATGAGGATTCTCGGAGGTTTGAAGCCATTGGTTTGGGATCTTAGGGGTTCTTAGGGGTATAGGGTGTAGGGTTTAGGGTTTTTGGGGCTTACGGCTTATAGGGTTTAGGGTTTAGGGTTTAGGGCTGAGGATCCTAGCGGTTTTGAGGAGGGTGTGGTTTTTGCTGGGGGTTGGTTTGGGGCTTCGGCTCTTCCGGATCTTGGGTTATGGGGGGGTTAAAAAACCGTTGTGGGGTTTCTCGGGTTTAGGGTTTAGGGGTTTAGTCTAGGACATTTTCAGGTGGGTAGTTACCGTTATAGGAGCCTTATTGAAGGTCTGTATACCTTATAGAAGCCTTATGGAAGCCCTATATACCCTAAACTCCCCACGTGTAGTTTCCTTTAGTTTAGGGGGTTCGGGACCCAGGGTTGCTTGCTCAATCAGGTTCCTATAGTAGAGAGCTCCGGAGCTCATTTTAAGTAAAAGCAACGGGGTTGGGTTTTGGGTTTAGGGTTTGGGCCAGGTTCAGGGTTCAGAGTTCAGCGAAACAAAAATTTCCCGGTGAATCTGCAGGTTCCGTCCAAGCTAAGCCAACCCGCACATTTTACATTTCGATCCGCCCTAAACCCCTAAACCCTAAACCTAGTCAGAGACAGAGACCCTTTAAGTTCAATCTTTGATCCATCCCGCAAATTGTGCCGAAGTGTAGACCCAAAGGCCCTACTGTTGATGATGTACATCCTGCATTACCTTAAGGACCTTAAACTATGGGAATTATGGTATATTCCCTATTATGGGTAATTTAAACCCAGCGCCCGACACCTGCATGGTAGGTCTTCAACTCAAAACCCAACACCTGCAGCAGCGCCCCTGCAAGACAAGAACCATTGGGCTGGCTTGTAGATCGTAATGTAGGCACCTAAATAATTGCCTGTACTAATTTTGGGGGTTCCGTTAATAAACATAGCATAATGGGCCCCCAAAACCCAATTCTAATTATTAAAGCCCCTATAGTAGGCAAAGGTGCTACTAGGCATCGCCCTCACAAGAGGCAAAGTTCAAACGGTGATGATGGATACTCATGATGGGGTCGAGCTCCACGCCAAGTTGGCACTTGCTTGCCTAACGCCCATGTTGAGCAACGAAGGCACGCTACTTATCTGCTCGCAAACGTTCAGTCGCCATGCTGGCTGGCGTTACGGTAGTCCTAAACTTATAACAACATCCCAATGTCGCGGCTCTCGCTTCCTGTGCAGAATGGAGTAAACACAGTGACACAGTAATAAAAACCCATGTATGGTCGAAGTACAAAGTGCGTAGTCATGGGACTGATACATATGTATATATATATATATACATATGTACATATATATATATATATAGAATATGCATATATATATATATATGTGTATATATATATATAAGTATAATGTGCACAGCACGGTGCCTAAGCGCTATTGAAAGGTGGTCGAGGTCAAGGAGGAGGATGAGAAGAAGGCACAGCTCTTTTTCCCTCTTTCGGTACATGACCATTATCGGGATGCTCCTTAGGGTTTATAGTTTTACAAGATTTAGTTTAGGGCTCTAAGCCACCCAGACAAAATCAATAACCCCAAACTTTAGACGCTTCCTGAAACACAGGAGCAGGTTGAGGCAATGGTTTGTCGAGGGATTATATTATACTATGCTTTGAAACTGAAACTGTATAAACCCCAAACCCCTAAACCCTAAACCCTAGATCATAAATCCGAAATGCTCTATTAGAGCTGAGGAGTGTGCGTCAAGCCCAAAGACCTTGCTCTCGGTTTAGGTTTATGGAGCAGTGCCCTTGTTGTGGCTGCATCGTCGCGTGAGACGTCTGAGCCTAAGCTCCCAAGGGAGCTGCTGAGTGCCCAGATGAGAAATAACCAGTTTGTTGAGTGTTGAGCGCAAGTCCCGCCACCGAAGCCAATCCGCGGACCATGCTTCCCACGCTGCAGCTCCGATGGGTCCAAGCCTTCAACCTCCACATGGACGCACAATTGTGGGGGGGCTTGGGGAGCTTTTGGATTTTGGGCTTATAGTTTGGAGCTGGATCAGCAAGGTTTCAAGCAAAGAAGCTTGCCCATCGTTGCCGCGCTGCACTGCGAGAGATCCTACAGTTTGCGTATCTCTGGGAAAACTGGTGCGACGCAATGCTGGAGCTGGAAACCGAGGAACGGGACAAGTGGCACGACGAATACCCGTGTGCCAGAGAACGTGGTTATGCCAATATTGAATGGTGTCTTGTTTTCGAACCAGCTTGCAAATCCAGCTGGGGGGCTGCCATGCCCTTATAGTATGTAGTACGCAACATATAATGGCCCAGAACCCTGAACCCTAAATCCTAGACCCAATATCCTAGATTCTACACCGTCTTTGGCATGTTGGGCGGAGGGGATTTGTGCGACGAGTCTTGTTCGACCCAAGCTTGAGGTCATGATGTGTAGGGTTTAGGGTTTAGGGTTTAGGGATAAAGGGTTTAGGGTTTAGGGTTTAGGATGAAGATCCAACCAGGAATTAGAAGGTGTCCAGTTCTCGGTTACAAGGCGGGCGCCTACACTGATGCAGAGGCCCATGAGAAGTTGCCGAAGGATGCGGCCATGCAGAAGCCTAAGTTTTCCGAGACCCTAAACCCTAAACCCTCAAACCCCTAAATCGTGCCGCAGTGCTTCCGAAACTTCGATCCTTTGCGGAAGGGGGAGCAGCTGGGTCGGTCCATGCGAGCAGCCGGGCCTTTTTTATAGCGCATGTTGAAGATTTTGTAGATTCAAGGCCCCCCAATGTCACTAGGGCATCGGTTTAGGGTTTAGGAGTTTAGGGTGCCAACTCCTTCGGACTTTTTCGCCGGATTCTTGGGGTTATAGAGAAACTCGTTTTGTGCCGGAGTTTTCTTTCTCTCTGGGGACTCTACATAATGCAGGCTGTGCACTGTTGCTAATCCCACAGTGCCTAATGCCTACCAAACGAGTACTCGGTATAAACCTTTCGGTGCTTCTTGTTACGAGTAAAAGTCGATATACCGTACGTAATGCAAAGAGCTCTTTTGTCTGACCCCTTCGGAAGTATGTCACGAGCTCTTTGCGGCTTCAATCCTCGATCATCATGAACTGCCAGCTTTGCCACCAGCGGGCTTTTGGGTGCTTGGTTTCCAAAAAAACCTACTGAATACAGACCCTCAGCTCGTCCGCAATCCCAAATCCCTACACCCTACACCCCTGCACCCTAAACCCCTAACTCCCAACCCCAATCCTACATCTCTAAGTCCTAGATCCCTAAACCCTAAATCCCTAAACCCTAAATCCCTAACTCCTTAAACCTAAATCCCTATAAGCCCTAAACCAGAAACCTGAAGCCTGAGCCGACCAGGTGGTTGAGGATGCGCCGCCGCGCGGGCGGCGCGAGAAGAAGGCAACCTCGGACGGATCCTCGAAGAGAGCCACAAAGGATCGTAGGGTTCATAGGGGTTTCGGGTTTTTAAGGGTTCGGTGTTCAGAAGGTTTTACAACGGTTTAAGGGTTTACAAGGGTTTATGAGGGTGTAGGGTCTACGGGGTTTGATTACGTAGGGCTTTCCGGTTTGTTTATCTGGGTTTATAAGGGTCTATAGGCATTTATCAGCGCTGGTAAGGGTTTACAGTGGATTTTTCAGGGTGCGTAAGGGTTTGTAGGGTGTATAAGGTTTCGTAAGGGTTTATAACGGTTTGGGGGTGATAAGTTTTAGGAGGGTTCAGGGCTAACGGCCTAGGGCTGAGGGATTTGGATTCTGGATTTAGGGTTTAGGGACCCTAAACCCTAAACCCTTAACTAAGGAGTACCTGGACCGAGCGAGTATTCCCTTGGAGGGCAGGTACGTAATCGTGAACACCGCAGGTTATCAGCAAAACAAGTCACAGTCAAGAATGCAAGGTTTTTTAGTGTCAGAGTTGCTCGTGTTGGGCACATGTACAAAAATGCTCAACCAGCTGCTTCACACACGCCACGTTGCTCATAGCCTCAGGCTCTAATATCCCTGAACCCTAAACCTTAAACCCTAAACCCTAAAACCCTAAACCGTGCCTAAACCCTAGACCTCCACAAGCAGAAGTCCTGGAGGCGAACTGGCCGCCCCTGAGTGAGGCCATGGAGGCCCCCCTGACCTTTCTCTGCAGTTTCCGGCTCTTAGTCATTAGGGTTTAGGGTTTAGGGTTTAGGATTACTCTACACGCGCAAACTTCGCTGTAATTATCTTCTGGGTTTGTGGTGGTGGTAGCACTTGTTTTCAGAGTAGTCGTAGCGGTAGACGTAGTGGTGGCAGGATGTAGTAGTGGCAGTACCAGCAGAGCTCACATCCATTGGATTAGTCAGCGGTTTTGCTCATTTCGAGCTCTGCATCGCTAGGGGTAGGGTTTAGGGTTTGGTTAGGGTTTACGGTTCAGGGTTTAGGTTCTACTTTGGTGTTCGGGGTTTGGGTGCAGAAGCCTAAACCCAATACCATCCTTTGAAGGTCAACCGTGCTAGCCCAGACGTCTACGGCTCCGACTTCTGGTACCTCTGCACTCCGGTAGGGGGTCCGCTTCGGATTTGCTGGATGATCTCTATATATATATATATATATGTATGTATATATGTATGTATATATGTATGTATATATGTATGTATATATGTATATATATACACACATATGTATACATAGGTTCTGCCTGACCTTGAACCGCAATCCACGGACAGCTTTAGAGGTCAGACTCTTCTAGTTATATACATACATGCATACATACATACATACATACATACATACATACATACATACATATATATATATATATATACACATACATATCCACACACAAAGAAATAAATATGCGTATGTATATATATATATACATATAAATATATATGTTTATAAGTATGTATGTATATATATATATATATATACATACTATGCATATATATATATATATATCGTTTCTGATTTTTGGTTGTATATATATATATACACATGAGCAAAAATGCATGTATAAGTTTATATGTGCACACATAACTAAATACATATGTATATATATATATATATATATTATATATATATATATACATACTGTATATCTTTATTTATATACAAACCCTTTTATCGTTTCTGATTTTTGGTTGTATATATATATATATATATGAGCTTTCCTTTGTCAGGGCGTGGAGGTGGTACTCCTCGCAGGTGATCTCAAAGAGGCGCCTGGGTAGCAACCTTCTTTAGACTTTAGGGTTTTGGTCCTAGGGTTCCATGAGGGGTTAGGGTAAGTTTATTGTGTAGCCGGAGGCTTCTCATGTTTGCTGTTGCTGTAGTTGTTGCCGTTGTCGTTGTTGTTGTTGTTGCTGTTGTAGTTGCTTATGTTGCTTTTGTTGAAGTTTCAGTTGCAGCTGTTGTTGTTGTTGTTGTTGTTGTTGTTGTTGTTGTTGTTGTTATCATTCCTGTTGTTGTTATTGTTCTTGTTGTTCTTGTTGTTGTTCTTCTTCTTCTTCTAGTAGTAGTAGTAGTAGTAGTAGTAGTAGTAGTAGTAGTATAAGTAGTAAGTAGTAAGTAGTAAGTAGTAAGTAGTAAGTAGTAAGTAGTAAGTAGTAAGTAGCAAGTGGTAAGTGGTAAGTG